CGGTTTCATTCTTTTTTTTTCTTTGGAGATATTATGCCTGAAAGTTATTCTCTCGTCGCATCTGTCAAAGACAGAGTTGCACGTTTTTCACTTTACCTGTCGCGAAATGACCGAAAAGATGGTAAAAGATGGATTTGTACTTCTATAGCCGAATTCATTGCTAACTTGAAAAACTTCACCCCTTTCGTCACTTTAAGTTCTGGACAGAAGCATTCGCTCGTACCACTCTCCGCCTCATGCTTATTTAGCGATCTCCTCGATAAAATACGCTAACTTATTTCTATTTGGAACTTGCTTTGAAACTTTGAACATGCTTTCTAAAGAGATTTATTAGCGTATTAGAGAAGTTAGAAAACAGCTGGAAAGATACGGACGAAGTTATAAGTTCCTGTAAGCTTCTAGCAAAGATTGATTAAAGATTACTAGTCTTTTTTTAAGCGTTTGGAGAGAAACGTCGGTATTTCTCGAGCAAAATTTCGTTCAAATTATGACTTGTTACGTGGAGAGCTAGCTCAACGCGTCAGTAAAACTGTAAGAGAGAAAAAATTTTTTCTTTTTCTGAGAAAAATACCTTAGTTTCGCCCTTTAAGTATTCTAACTCTTCCAGGTATCATTAAGTGCCGCAATAATTAAAATTATTCCACGTTGATCCTTCGGTGTTGGGCAACATAAAAGTACAATTTTACTTAATGATAATGGGGTCATAATTATTAGAATACTGAGATTTATTTGATTGCATATAAGGCTTTACTTCGTTATTAAGATGAAAACTCTTAAACGAAGAGTAAAAATACTGAGAAAATTATCTGTTTATGCTTTACAAACGGTAACAATTTGTACGTCACAAAACTAAGTTAATTAAGTAAGCCCCTCGTGAGCACCAACTAAAAGTGGACATGTTTGTTTTCTCATTCCGTTTGCTGAACACAGATATACTAAACTGTAGAAGATTCTGCCGCAGGCCGCAGTTTTATTTACAGGACGCTGTTTAGCACAAACTGCTATTTAGTTTATGTCTGTCCATTCGTCGGGCTATTTTGGTATATATTTGCAATAAGTTAAACATTGAAACAACTTGAATGGCAACCTTTAAGACATTAGACGATTTAAAAATGAGTGCCTTTAATGGATCTATCAAACTTCATACGTTCTTTGTGCTTCATTCCGTATTCAATTCGGATCAATATTCTCTATATGTAAGACTGCGACTGGAAAGCCAGGCTTAACATGTTATGAAGCCGAACGGGAATGCGCTTTTAACTTTCGGAAGCGCTTTTACTTAACAGAAAATTATCAGAAAAACGATGAGTATACAAAGTTCGTTTCAAAGCGTAGGTAGAAATTCTTACTTGTTTTGCTGTTATACCTCTTAAGCATTTTCAAAATCACAGCACGTAGATGAACGTGTTATATGTCTATTTTCCTCTTTATGTTATTCTATTAATGTTATATTACTTGCCATTAAATGCGAAATATTCTAACTTAGCATCAACAAACAAGCAGCAGCCGCAATAACAACCAACCAGCACTACCATTAACCGCAACAACAACAAGTAATTAGAATTAAAACGTAGATTTATAATACAAATTTCCCATACACAAAACGCACAAACACACACACACACACACACACACGGGTACACATGCACACATATGCACACACATGCATATACGTACACAAAATTAATGAATGATAAGAATTTAATGCATTCGTATTAATACAGAAAATGTAGAAATTCATCTAGCAATGAATGACAGACAGACATATGTGGACGGATTAAAGGTGCGGTATTCCGTCATTTCAAGTATAAGATATGTTTGTAGATTCGCATATCTCGATGTGAATGACATGCATAGAAAATCAATCGAAAAGATGATGGAATATTTTCCAAGAATATTTGTATGTTTTAGATGGGGATATGGGGAGAAGAGAAAGCCGCTTAAGACTTGTTTCTATCAAGAGAAATGCCAACTTTAATTACTTTAGCAATTTTATATTGAACTACCACTGAACAAACGTAAGACCTCAACAGGTTGGAAAATTTCTATCGTTAGGGGCGACTATTGAATATTCTACAACACCGTTGTCAACATAAAATACGAAAGACTCGAATTTACATTTTATCAGAACAATCTCTAGATGGTAGAGGACCCGAAAAATAAACTAAACTGGTTTATAACAGTAGGGTTTCTATTTTGGACCAGCTTTCATTGTCAAATAATTCAAGTTAGGTCTTATGGCTTATTGTCGTTAAGAATATTTATATGAAAAGGCATTAAAAAATCCTACCGTCCGATCATATCTACTTAGCGATCTCCTCGATTAAGCTGCATTAGCTACCATCCGATTCTTAAATCCTATTTTTTGGCACTTTTCGTTGGTACATATCAACAAGTAAGTTCGGTCGTGACGGGAATCTTTCATACCCATTACCATACCTTTGCCCTAAAAAAGACAAAAAAGTGAAGGAACTAAATACTCATGCCTTATAATATGGAGTGGGCGCGGCTGACTTAAGAGTTTTTGTTGCATAATCGTGCCGTTTGAACATTTTAGGCGACTTGCGAATTCTTTTGCAAATCGGTAAATCTTTCATCATTTTCGCGAACAGATGAATGTTTATCACAGGTACTACACAGTTGTATTCCAAATTCGAAACTGGGCATGAATTTATATACTTTCTGACGTTTTTAAAGCTTGTTTCTGCCGGTTATAAAGGTATTGAAAAAAAATCTAATTTTGATAAACTGTAACATGGGATAAGTGAGGGCAATTATTTTGCATTTTTCTATAGGTGCTCTAGGTTCGTCAATAGAATGTGCTTTTGAATTTTTGTAGGTTTAGCCGCTACAATTTATGAAAGTAATGATGAAAAAACCAATTTTTTATTCCCTTTTAAAAAACAAAGTTGTTCTTAGTTTACGTAGTATTCTAGTTATGTTCTCTGAACGATTTTACCATTTTCAAGACCAGCCTGTGTGCAGAAACTTCCAATGTCTTTGACAAATTTAAAGTCGATAGCTTTACTTTTGCGACCACAAGAATGTTTACGGTAGACATTTAGCAGACGGACATACGGACAGGCGGACATGCTTAAAACAATTCAGTATTTGACGCTGATCAACAATGTAAAGACTTTATGGAGCTTGCGCATTTGCGCAAACGTACTTTATCAACCAAGCCCTACGCGTTTGCCATTGTTAGGCGGTGAAGGTCGATTTAATCAACCTGTTCTTTAATTTTGTATACGTTATTGTGTATTATACACGTTTAAGAGAGAACGCATTCATAAAAAAGTTGTTTTCATTTAAGCCGGCCTTTGTGGAACGATTTCAAATCTGTTCGCTAATACTTTTTATGAAGCATCATTAACTGATGATCATGCTCATCCGCCTCATTTTTCGCGACAAATATCTTCGGAGCTTTCTGTGGTGGGTGTTAGACATGAAAGGAAACTATTTATAACAGTTTTTTGAAATTTGGTATATTACCGAAAAAGGCAGAATGGGAGAACACCCAAATTTGCGGCCAAACTAGAAAATGTCACCTATGTTCACCTATATCACGTGAATCTATATAAAAGTACTTGTCGAATGAGCAAAATGGTTAAACTTTTCTTTCGGGGACTATTTTTAACACCATACTATACTCCACTATAGTGCAATATATATTAGTACAAAATACACTATACTGTACTCTAGTATAGTACAATATATACTATAGTATATTAAAATTTAGTACAAAATACCATACACTGTAGCATATTAAAATTTAGTACAAAAGGCTATATACTGTAGCATATTAAAATTTAGTACAATGCACTATATTCTGTAGTATATCAAAATTTAATACAAACTGCCATATACTGCAGTGTAATAAAATTTAGTGAAAAATACCATGTACTCTAGTATAATAAAATTTAGTACAAAATAATATAGAATGTGGCATATTAATTAATTTTTAGTACAAAACACTATATACTGTATTACAGTAGAACTTAGCATAAAAGTGAGAAAGTAATGTTGCTAAAGCTACGATAACTCGTAAACGGATGATCCAATTAACATGAAATGTTGATAGACGTTGCTTGGAGCTTGACACATTCTAGAGATTATGTAAGTCGTTTTTTTGAGGTATCGGTCTCCGGATGTTACGATCTCTGTACGTCGCGTAAGCAGGCAAGCTTTAATATTTTACAATATCTAACCCTAAAGGGTATACATTTTTTTGCATACAAATTCCCCGATACTTTATATAAAGCCTATCAGCTCTTCTTCTTCTACGAATCAGCAGGTCAAAAAGAGATGATTTACTGAGTTTGATACAAAAAATTCAACTTTGCTTAGCTATGTTTCAAAATGCTCTCCTAGTTTTGCTTGTCAAAGAATGATTGATAAAAAAAATTGATATAAGAGAAACACATGGAACTTTAACGTAAAAAAATAATTAATTATTTTGTTTGTTTAAATGATACCAATTATAAAACAATAAGCAAATAATTATAAGAGCGACATATATTGATATGCCGGGATATGTGTAAACAACAACATAATAAGCTTGATGCGATATATTTTTACAAGCTCGAAAAAGAAAGTAATTATTCGGGACTACGTTGGAGATTTGCAAGATATATTAAAATTTTTCTGACAAAAAGGTAAATAGTTTAATAAAATCTTTATAAAAAAAGAACAAGAAGAAAAACATGAGGTATTAGGAAAAAAAAAAAATTAATGATTCTTTTAAGCGGCCTTGCAAGGTCAAGGTTGATGTACAAATTAATGAACTTAGCCTGCGGTTTTACCTTATTCGCAAATGTGTATTAAAATTTCCAGTAAAAACATTTCCATTAATAACACAACAAAACACATATACGCACACACGTCTTAATCACTAACAAAAAAGCGGCACAACAAACTGTAACCAAATTAATGTGGAAAATAGAAAACAACGCATACAATACAAGTAAAAATAATAATAATATAATAGTATTCGCCAATACCGGCTGATATTACGCTTTGGCACTGCGTTTTATTCGTAGCAAATTGTGTGTTGTATATATTGTTCGTTAAAATTTTGTTATGCTTTTCGTTATACACAAGCACCTGTAAAGCGGGTAGCTGACGTCAACTTCTTCGCTGACTTCATTGTACATAGCGTCGACCAGCAGCAGTCGAAGTCAAGTCAACAGTTATGCGTCGCTCATCAATTGTATGCGGTTGGTCTGCTGCCGCTATTTCACCGGGCTTAAGCTTTATTATAAACGTCTGTTTGGTTTGGTGTTTATATTCGATTTTTTTTTTTTTTTTTTTTTTTTGCAAAAATTTACACGACGTCTCTAACTTTATATCTAAATTTCAATTCACACACAACTAACGTTTATTCACGCTTCAACACTGACTGTGTTAACAACACTAAATCGCGTTATAAAAATAGTGCAGTGAATATATTAAATATTTTAACACTAGTATAAATAAATAATTAAAAAAAAAAATTTACAATAATAATAAAAAAAGGAAACTAAAGCGAAAAACAGAAAAAAACTCGAATATTTAAATTTGTCTTTTATTAAAAGCAAAACAGTACAAAACAATCAATAACCGAATATAAATATTAATAAACAAAAAACAAAAGTGAAAGAAAATTTCCCGAAAACGGAAAATAATATTTTGTGCGAATTTTAAAAGTATTTTAGTTTTAATTCAAAATAAAAAAAAAAAAATTAAATCGATTTTAAGATGGTAGAAAAATTAGGTAAGTTTTATAAAAATATATTTATATAACACTTAAATTAAAAAATTAATTTGAACTCGAAACAGCTAGCGCTGTAGTGAATAAATCGAAATTAAAGAAAAAGGGAATAATAAATTTCTAGATGGCTATGGGACTACGATACATTCACAATTCTTCGATCGATTCAATCGGAACTTATGAGCCTATGCCGAGAGTTTCTAACAAATTTTTAATTCAAAGGCTGCTACAACTTAAAATCAGTTTTTCTAGAGGTGATCGTGAATAGACCACGTCTATTCTTAAAATTGATCTGTGCAAAGTTCCAATGCCCTGCTTATATACAATTTTACCATAAAAATTTCAATCGCAAAACAAAAACCCCGCTGGAAAATAGAATATTGACTCAAATGAGTTATTAGATCAATCAAGAAAATCTTAGAGACCGGCAAAATATTGGGACTCTGAGGTATATGTCTCTTTTTCTTTTTTCACATTTTTTCGCATACATTAGGGAAATAACAAATATCTGCTAAGTAAGTTTTCTCACCCACCATATGTAAGCTTAGACAACGGGAATGGTATAGAAAACCAAAATTATTAAGCATATTCCGCTAGGAGCCAATATTTAATGCCGAGTTCTTTGATTATTTTCGAAGCAATTTTATAAGCAGCCTTTGAAAAGGTTCGTCTAAAGATTTCATATTTGTTTGCCTAAATTTTTCATATTTGTATCCGCTATATGTGGCAAAATGTTGAGTTACTTCTGTGGTTTTTAACTATTATGAGCATGGCTGTAGGTGCATTGCATTGCCGTATTTTCTAATTCCATCCGTAGCGTACAAAAAACTTTCTATCCAACTATTTCGAGTTCTTGAAATTATTACGGACCGAGGAATCGATATGCAAGGCTTAAAATCTCTCTCTGATCGACAAAAGCGAAAACACCAATAATTGTTGACGCTTTGGACAGTACTGCAGGCAGAAGCTCTGATCAAGGTAACTCCAAAATGTCTTTCTGAATATACGAAATGAAAAGATCTGCGTACGAAAAGACTTGAGAGTTAAGTTTAGAAGGAATCGTTTCGGAATGAACCATTTCTCCTTATCTTTATACCCTGCATTACTTGAGTGGTGGTGTATATATTGAACGTATGCGGATATATCTTAATAACCAGAAACACTCGAAATGGATGCATTTTTTATTTAATTGGAATTATTTTCTAATTCGATTGAGAGGCGTCTGCCCATTTGGCTTTATTATATCTGTCCATGTTTCCTACAATTTGCGTGAAATTTTGTTAGATCTGTTTACGCTGGCATGTCTTGGACCAAGGGTGAACGCCATTGAAAATGGATTGGCTCGGACTATTTTCTATAATATAGCAGAAATTTTTTTGGATCTTGATACGTCTGCATGTGTTGGCCCAAAGACGAACTTGAGCGAAGAAAATTCCCTCAGACTATTTGTAGAACGAGTTCACATTTGAAGAATCATTTGGGGAAAAATATTCCCATCTTCAATTTTACCGGCAATAACTGGCATATTAAATGAATATGGAAAATTTGTATTGGATGATACCATCTTTGAACTCTCTCCCGTGTAAACGATGTTATAAAAAATAAGCGTTTATATATGGCAACAAAGCTTATTTTGTAGTGTTTTATCGTGGAAATTCGACCGGAATAGCGATTAGGCATTTAAGTTAACTGTATTAAGTTTCAGCTATATAGATTTGTTCGTCTGATACCATAACCATAACATATATGCACAGGCACGATACTGCTCAGGAAGGATCGTAAGTCGATGTGAAAGACTCCTGCTGGTAGATTATTCCAAAAGCGCGCAGTATGTTCATACCAGGCCCCTGCCGGCAGATTATTCCAAAAGTGCGCAGTAAGTTTATACTGCAGGTAGTACGGGGAAGATAGAAAATGTTTCTCAAATATTGATTAGAATTGCTCAAGAGCTAATTTTATTAAGCAATCAGAATAGACAGCCAATAGGGTCACACGTAATAGCACAAGTTCAACTTTTGACTTGGAAAACTCACCCAAGTCAACTTGAACTTGGCTTATTGTTACAAGAATAGAGTTTTAAGAGAGAATTAAATAATAATAATACGAGTATCTTCATATCAAATAATAATAAGTAAATCTGGTTATATATTTATTAGTGTAGATGTGCAGAGAAATTCAATTAACCTATACCAAGTATAACGAACATTTAAAATGGTAAAGAAATGAAATAATTGTTTTTTTGGACCTCCTATCAAAATGCGTGATTTCATTTTGGATGCGTTTACCATTTTCAAGTATTCTCACTTTTATTGTTACTTAACGTGAAAATTTCGGTCAACGTCTGAGATGGTATTGGGACAAATAAGACCACGGCTCGAATTGCCTTAGTAACATTTATTTATTAATTTTTTTTTTATTAAAAATGAATTTTATTTATGTACATAAAGGATATTATTATCAAAAGGTATTCCTCGCCATTTTAACTCCAATTTGCCTGCTACTTTTTTCCTATTTATTCTAAAGCACATTTTTGGACTGAATATAAAGAAGCCTAATCTTAATAAACACATCCGTACCTGGTTTTCGAAAATATCTTGCTGAAATTGAAAGTTATAGAAGAAAATGTAAAAAATTTTGTCGGTGATTTTTCAGGTCTTTTTAGTTTCCTCTGCATTGTGGACGTGTTTGTGAACAGATCACCTCTTATTTTTTAAGTTCGTAATTTTAATCGATTAAGAAATGTTTGTAGTAAATTTCATTTTGCTATCCTCATTTTTGTGACTGTGGTGCTTCACAAAATTTTGACATTCAAATTGACGGGTTTCCAAAAATTTATTGTTAAAAATATTCTTAGCCAGGGAATAATAGAAAATCTTTGGTTCGACTTTTAACAAAATTAATAAAATCGAACGGAAAATAGCTTAATTTGAGCTCTTTCTGAAAGGGATATAAAAAAAAAAAATTTACTTGGACTAATTACTATTGTTTCTCGCAATACATATTCAAAAAAGCAAAAGTACTTTCAAAAATTAATGATTATGTGGCTAGATAATGCAATAGTTTGTCTCTTAGGATATGTGGAGTTAATGCACTCTGTATCAATTATTTGTAGAGAGTTTTAATGATATGTAATTTATATCTTTTTTGTGTGTGAAGCAGATTAGCTTTTAAAAATTATCAATTGTTTGTTTAAATGGAATACAACACGCAAAGACCGTTTGGTGTTTTTATATTTTTTTTTTTTGCAGATTTCTTTTTACAAATGAAAACAAAGTATAATTTTTTTTTATAAATTTCAACAAAATTACTAGGCCTTAAAGCCACGCCCTACAAAGCATACGAAAATATATGCCTATTATTTTTGATATAAGATTTGGAATTTTTATCGATGTAAAGACATGGAGATTAAACCGTAGATGACGAGATGAATGTTTTAATCCTCATCTGGACGCCTTTCTATTTTTTTTTTTTTCAGTTAGAGAAACAGTATAACTAACCTTGTACACCTACCAAACGTTAACGTCTATCCATTCTTCTATAATTATGTTTTTATCACTCTGTAAATATTGAAAACACAGTGAAAAATAAAACAAATTAAAACAGACAACCGTAACAATAATCATAAAATGCTGCTTTATTTTATTTATTTTACACGTCAATAGGTAACAAGAAAAAAATTAAAAATAAAAATAAAAACAAAATACATGAGATATTATTGCAATTTCGCACACAACGTAGTAATCAAATTGATATAACATAATAGGCTACATATGTTGTTATATGGCCGGCCATACACGTTGGGCTTATGGACATCAAATTTAAGCTTTAATGTTAATACTTTTTAGTAGCTTAAACAAATTAAATTGTTATGTTCGATAGTAAATGATTTTACACGAATGGATTAACTGTTTAAACTTTTTTTTGTGATAGCAAACTCTAATTCCAGATAATTCAACGAATTTAAAATTTAACATTGAAATTTTGTTTTTCATATAAGATATATAAAAATGTGTGCATTTTAAGGTAAGCATATAAATATTTCTCTGGATTGTAGGTAAAACAATACGCGATTTCTTTATATGCACCTTAATGGTGAAGTCTTTACTAAGAGTTTTATGAGTTTCTTTAAAACCTTGACCTCTACCGGAACAGCGACATATTTAACTTTTACATGTTTTTCAACGACCACACATATAATAATAAATTATATATGAACTTATTGTTTATGGCCAACTGCATTAAAAAAGTATTAAGGCAAGAAAAAGCAAAAAAAAAAAAACAATAACATCGTCATAAATGAAAAATGAGAGCGGGAAAATATTGTATTCAACTTAAAACGAATATTGGATGCCTATCAGCAGCAAACCCTTATACGAAGTCTAAAACAAATAAAAAGTCATTGCATTGAAAGAAAACACCATTAAACGGGGCGTATGAGTATTATGTAATTGACATTTATAGCTTGACCTCTAGTGAAAATATCCTAATAAAATGGTAGTGCGTATGAGTAACTCTTAAATAATATTTGTCGAAGTCTTTATTTAATGGACGATCCGTAATGAAAAGAAGAAGACAAGCGGCTCCTCTTCCTTCGCGTATGAGCAGCAAGGGAAGAGCTTCTAAGCAAAATTTCAGTATAATTGATTTTAAAACAGCCCCGCGTTCCAATAATATTCCATCCGGTTTGTAAGCAAAAAAAAATTCTAAAATAACCGCGGCGGCATATTACCGTTCTTTACGTCACGTGCCCTTAAAGAAACAAGAAATCTGGGCACGGCTTGCACTAGTTTATTACTTTGCTAGCAATACAAATTGAAAACGATAAGTATATGGTTCGCGGTAGCGTATTCTGTAAACTTTACTACTTTGGTACACTTGGGGACCTCAGCCCTCAAGTTTCTAAGCTCATACTTAAACTAAACGAACTATTCTCTGCTTTTCTTTTTTCTCTTCCTCCCCTTAAGAATTATCACCATCTTGCAGGAACTCCACCAGAGAGGGTC